CAAAATCAAATGATCGGAATCGGATCGGGAGCAAAAAAAGGTGATCGGGACATCCCTAATTATAAGTCAATCCATTCACTCTCTGAACACAGACCAACGTCCCTGTAAAGGTGTTTTTTCCTCACATTTTTCATATGTATGCATTTGAGCTTTGTGAAAATACACCATGAAATCATCACCATACAAAAGCTCTGTGACACAGACATGTTGAGAGTAGAAAACACAGGTGTTAACAGCTTCATGTTCTGTCTCCTGACTCATTTGAATACAAAGGCATTGTTAAAGTGATGAGCTCAGTTTCACCTGCGCTCATATCAAGAGTCTAAACTTCCTCTGTGAGAAAGGACTATTCCCATCACACTCAAACATATAAAACAACAGTGGAGTTTCACTTCCGTTTTTTTCCCAATCAAGTGTCAAAATCTAACTCTACTCTGAATTGATGTAGAAGCAGAATTCCCTGCAGGTTTTCAGGACTTTCTGTTGTAAGAAGTAGAAAGTACAGGTATTTGAGTTCAACATGTAAGAAGTAGAAAGTACAGGTATTTGTGTTCAACATGTAAGAAGTAGAAAGTACAGGTATTTGTGTTCAACATGTAAGAAGTAGAAAGTACAGGTATTTGTGTTCAACATGTAAGAAGTAGAAAGTACAGGTATTTGTGTTCAACATGTAAGAAGTAGAAAGTACAGGTATTTGAGTTCAACATGTTAGGAAGTAGAAAGTACAGGTATTTGTGTTCAACATGTAGAAGTAGAAAGTACAGGTATTTGAGTTCAACATGTAAGAAGTAGAAAGTACAGGTATTTGTGTTAAAGAGTTGTCAGAAAAAGTAGTGGAGTAAAGTACTGATACCATAAAAATGTACTTAAGTACAGTAACAAAGTATTTTTACTCCACCACTTCCCACCTCTGATGTCTACCCATGTGTGTGCAGTTTGTAATAAATCTGAATCGTCATATTGACTCTAAGCTTACCTCTGTCCATAGCCACCATAGTCCCAATCCACCTCTTCTGCAGCAATGAAATAAGTCCTGACGTTGGGACCTGAGAACTTCAGGTAGTATTTGGTCGTGTCGTCCAGGTTGAGAGTCTTGATGTCCGTACCACCGGTGTAAGGGTCTACATAAGTCACATACTCATATTCATCTGCGGTCACATCTCCCTCTATCGCCAGATGATCCGGATCGTCTCCAGGAACGTACAACTCGTAGTCGCTGAAATCGGACCGAGGCACACCGATGACCACGGGCTCGTTGATCAGTTCTTCCTCATCAGTGACGGGTTGCAGCTGGGGTCGAGACCCACGTGGAGTCATGGCTGGGCCAAAACCTCGAGGAGAAAGAGGTAATCCACTCCTAGACTGAGGTTTGTACTCCTTCTTCTTCTTTGTTTTCATGCCTAGACCTTTCAGGGGTTTCTGACGAAGACTTACCTTCCGGGTCTTTTTTGGAGGCGGTGTTGCTTTGGGGGTTTCTTTCGGAAGATATTTCATCATGTAGTCGGGAATATCCACGGGTTCCATTTGGTGAGTGCTCTCATAAGTCCAGTTGTGTGACTGTGTTTTGACGGGGGTTGTTTTAATCACGTGTGAATGGTTTCCTGTGAAGTAGATGAGCAGTTCTTCACTTTCCTCCAAGACACTTAGCTCCTCAGGTTGCCTCTCTTTTCCTGCGTCGCCGGAGAGGGACACATTACTCTCATTGGAGAAACTTTCTTCAGAAGATGTGTAGTTCGACCCATCAAGAAGTGAGGTAACATTACTCTCTGTTGTGTTGGATCTGGATATATTCTGTTTACTCTCGAGCAAAGCTTGTGATACATTTCCCAGGCTTGAGTCGATAGTTACGTGTTCAGAGGAATTCATTTGAAGTGTATACTCAGGTTCTTCTGTAGTGTCATTGCCATTGGTTTTGTTGTCTCTGCCGTCGACTTCCAACTCTAAGATGGTTAAGTTGCTTATGTCCAAGCTAACCTTTTCAACATCAGCTGCTGGAAAAGACAATGAATCATCATCTGCTGATACGTTAGCTGCTGTGTTATTCTCATCTACCTTTTCTGCAGAGTTTGACGTTGCGTTACCGTCTGTTGAAATAGAGAGATTTTTCGTGCTAGAATTGGACGTTGGCACAGAGTAAGAAAACACGTCACCTCTTGTGAGAATCTCCTCTGAATCAGTCATGTGGTTATCACTGGTCAAGGTTACATCGAGTTCTTCAGTCTCCAAGATTGAACTTGCATTTCCTGTTAAAGTCACGGTAACATTTGTAATATCTGTGGGTACATCCGCTGAGAGTACCGTAACATTGTGAACTGTTGCGTTCTTTGTAGTTAAGTTGTTATTCTTTAGCGCTATATTTGGGCTGTACAAAACGGTTGTGTTCTCTATTTTATAATTCAAAGAAGAATCACCAAAGCTTGACGGCTGACTGCTGTTCTGCGATTGTGTTGTATTCTCACTGATGCTTTGGTTTAGCAAATGTACGTCCGTGAGTTTAAATCCATCCACCTTTTCCAAGTTTAATAATAATGTCTCGTTGATTGCATTTGGCTTTATGGATACATCGCCATCTGCTGATAATACCGTAGCATTTTGAACTGTTGTGTTGTTTGTGTGAGAATCGGCAGAAGCCATGGTTGCATTGTCACTTTTTAGTAAATGTGGGCTATACAAAATGGTCGTGTTCTCTATTTTATACAACGACGAATTACCAAGTGTACTGCTGTTCTGCATTTCGCTTGTGTTCACTTTAATGCTTCGATTATACAAATCTACCTCCGTGAGGTTCGATCCATCCACGTCTTTCCAGTTTGCATTTGGCTTTGAAAAAGAGGTTTGTGTTTTATTCTTTGTCCCTTTCAAATGAATCGTGACATTTCCATCCTCAGGCACATCAACAGCATCATAGTCGAGGAAAGAGAGGTCCAACTGTTCCACACCTGGGTCTTTGGATTGGTTCTTCAGAGATCTCAAATCCCATAGCTCTGCATACATGTCTGTGTCAATGTCTACCTTTACTGGCTCCACCGGAGTTTTTGGCTTTTCCTCTTCTATTTTGATTTCGGGAAGTCCCTGAGGGTTCCATATATGAAACTTATTCTCGTAGTCGTAGCCAGGGTAATCGTACTGGTTGTCACGATAGCACTCAAAATCGTTAAACTTGACGCGCATTCCTTTGGTCGTCTCATGGGAGTTCAGGGACGCCAGGAGCCAGACACCTTGTATGAAAGAAACACAAAAAACATCAGATGGAGAACTTAAAACAACCGTCACTTTTCACATGCAAAGGTTCCAGATATTTCCAATTGGCCCTGAGAGCTTAAATTAAGAAGCGTCTTGCAAATAGACGCAATGCACAGTATTTAATATTCATGCCTGAAGGTTATATACCTGTTCTTATTGGCCAAGTCTCCGTTTTACTTCCTTGTCTCTCCGAAATGTAATCACTTCATAATAATTGTATACATCTTTTAGACACGTATGTAAAATGTTGTTATTTAGCAGATGAGTTCAACAGTTTTAGCCAAAGATGTGATTTATTAAGTTGCAAATCAGTACTTTTTTTGTGTCAAAGTTGACATTCAAACCACATTTGAAAAGATTTACTCCCTCGGATATAGCTTTCACAAGAATTGGACAAACGAGTCACAGTGACATTAACAATTGACCTTTGACCAAACTCCAAAAAAGGTGATGCCTGGAAACTTCTTGCAGCAGTTTTCTGTATTTGCAACGCTTTTTCTTAATGCAGCGTATTTGTTTCCAAATTGGGGAAGATGTTTCTCCATTTGATTGCATTGTGTCGATTATTGGGCCAATACTCTTTGCAGCATTCTGTATAATAACTGTCTGCATCTCTACATATTCTCAAAATATAGGTATCCCTACAGACAAAATAATTGCACACACATATTTTAACTTAGAAAAAGAAGCATTGAATGCCCTTACATACCTATGTTGTCCATTTCCATCGTGATAGTCTCTCCGGTCATTGGGTAGAGGCTCAGAAAGTCCTCTGTCCGCCCATTCACCTCAAATGCGTGTCCGTAGAAAGTAGCTGTCTGGATGTAGTCCTGCGCTCCGATGCTGGACATGTGCCATGTTGCAATCTCACCGTTACAGAAACCTAAGTGAGGTCCACTTTCAAACACGTACCCATTGATCGCTGTGAGGAAAAGGTGAATACATATCAGTCATCTGACGGCAATGCAGTACGTTTCGCAGTATTAATGGAGTTCATATATCATAACTTTTAGGATAAGTTAATATCAGATGGAAAGAACTTACAGTGCATGATATTGGACTTAATAAACTCTGGATCTGCCTTGTTGACTTTGGATCGATCACAGAATTGGCGAATGTTGTCATCCAGGTACCAGCTCTTGTTCTCGTCGAAGACAGCCAGCATAGCATGCTGCTCCTTGTCTGCCTTCAGCTATAGAAACAAAAGTATATTCTTCATTGATAAAGTGAACCAGATTAATGCATTTTCTTTCAACATATGTAGTAAGAAAAAGGGGCAACTTCCAGGTCTAAGAAGTCAAGCCAAGTGCCATATATCTGCCTTCTCTTTTTTTACCAGCAGGGGGCTCATTCAAGAAAATGCCCTACTTTTCACTTGATGTATTGCCTCAGTTAATCTTTTTCTTAAAGAGTTTATAGTCTCAATCTCTAGTTTTAAACCTTCCTTAATAGAGTTGGATGTTCATTTTGTAAATGATGGTCCCATTCAGAGTAAAAAAGGTTATAAAGGGTCACAAGGCTATCTTGTGATTGAGCTGCCACCACAGTGTTGTGGTGCATATACTCTTTTGAAGGTGTGTTTAAGTTCATTGAAGTCTATTGTACATTTTTGTTTTACTTATGTTTCCTAAGAACAAGATGGCGTTGCCCAAAATGACCAACTCAAGGTTTCAAAACCATTGTCCACAACCTAATGGGCACTTGTATGCAATCTGATGTGTGTAGAGTAAGACTGATGTCGATATTTGTTTCATCAAGATCACAAGTTATTTATGCTATTTAAAAAAAAGTTTAATTCAGTTTTTTCAAGATAACAACATATAGTCATAGGCCATTATATTTAATTCATGAAACAGAAAATTATCTTTGGACATTTGTTATTTTGAGATATTGACAAAAATAAGTTTCTCGTTATTATCACGGGAAGGGGAGTAGGAAAAGTGTAACACAGAATAAACCCATGGAACATCTGACCTAAACACAGACCAACAATGTTTTTGGAGCCATGTTTAAAATACATTTATTTTGTTACTGTACATTTTTAATTCAACAAGTATATTTTTTACATTTTTTAATGCTATTTTATTTTTTAATGAGATTTTACATTTTGGAATGTTTATTTTTAATCGTTTAATTTGTATTGTACAATTCCATGTCTTTTCATGCTGCTGCAACGTAAACATTTTCCCAAATTGGGATCAATAAAGTTAATCTTATCTTATCTTAACCTCCTGAGCACAGGGCCTATTTTCAGGCCTCAGGCTCGAAAATGGTATGCCCAGAATGAATGACTATATCTTCACTTCTGAAAGGGGTATATGAATAATCTTTTGCATCAAAGCAATGACACACCT